TCCTTGGGCAAGACACTTCTGATCGACACTTTATATAGCAGCCTCTACCATCAGTGTGTGATTGTGTAGGTGTGACCTGCGGTGTAAAAGCGCTTTGAGTAGTCAGAAGACAAAGCACTATACAAGCTCAAGTCCATTTACCATTTACTTTTTTTTAAGTTATTCTCACTGTCTCGTTTGTCATAAAGATGTGAAAAGAGGATGATGTTCGTTTTTCCCCTGGCATCATGGAATCATCACTGTCCCTGAATTGTTCTTATATGTAAAGTGTTTGTTCATCAACTGGTCAAAATGTGTAGTTTCAGAGAAATCAAGGAAATCATCCCATGTTTCTGATTTAAGTAGTAAATCTTGTGTAACTGCAATGGGCAGCATTGGAAGAACAACTCTCTTACATAACTCCATCAAATGTACATCTTAAGAGGTACCATATGGGTCCATGTCCTGCAGAGAACAAGTTATGCAACCTGATGCATAGCAAAAAAAAATCCAACAATTTCCACAGTCGAGAAACAGCGTTGTGTGGAAAATTCCAGGGTCTGGTATGTTCTCAATTAAGGTGGACTTCTCTCCACCATGAAACTCAAGAACCAGCAGAATGACTCAGCACCCTCTCACTCTCTGTGTGGTGTGCCAGCCAGTTACATATATAGATCAAAGAGATGTTTATTCATGTCCAAGTATAAAGGAAAGTCTATTTAACGTCTCTAAAATATTTTCCATTCATTGACTATCCCCGTCAGTGTTGTTCAGTTCGGAGCGATATAAATGATGTGACGCTAAGACGCTTTACAAAAAAGCATATGGGATCATATGCAGGACACTTCCTTGCCTCTGAGGTGGAGGTCAGAGCAGGCTGCGCATGTGTTTGCCTTTATTTCTTTTAAGGCGGTCAAGAGGGAAACACGTTCTTCTCTGGAAGCCTGGAAGAAACAGGAACGCCCAGAAAACTAACAAACCGCAATCTTTTTAATCCCAGCGGGGACTTCCTGGGTGATGCTCCTGTCAGTCTTGTTGTTGGCACAGCTTCAGCATCCGGGTTCATGTACTGCGTCACCACAAAGGACACTTGTGTAACACACCCACAGCTTCGTTGAGACAGACGAACTCCAAGACGCAGAGCCATGAACATTTCAAAACCAACTCTGACCAGCAACAGATTTACATTACAAGTGTGAGGAATGTGTACTTTGTGTATCTTCCATTGAACAAACAGGTTTACTTTGGGCTGCTTAAGGTACAAGTTGTAACCTGATGTGTCCTTTTTGGACTTCATCATTCAGGACCTTGATTCAAAATGAAACTCCTGTTGAACAGGCAAGTTGTTTTGAACAACATGTGCACAGTTATACAACATCAAAAGGAAAGTAGTCACAAGCGTGGGCCTACGACTAGCTTTCTCTTTTCAAGGCCACACCACAACTGGGATTTTTGTTGTCTTCTAACAGACCATCATTTCACTTTTTTTTTTTTAGGAAAAAATTATTTTCTTTGCACAACAAGTACCCAAATTCAGGTAGAAACAGACTATAGAAGCCGTTTTGTTCCGAAATTATGAAAAGAAGAGATCCTTACTGTATTACTCCAAATAATAACACGTGTACCAAAACATGGACAACCTTCAGGAGAATGAAATACTCTCTTGAAATATTAGGTTACAATATAAAACATAATTAGAAACTTCTGAAGTAACATAGCATCTTAAAACTAAATGAAAGTTTCGCATAACAACAAGTTTCTTTAACTAACGAGAAATTAACGAGTACCTAAAAACAAGTTTGATGTTAATGCGACTTATATAGGACAAGTAGCTCAGGCTGTTGGGACCAGGTTTGGAAACCAAAGGATTGTCAGTTCAAGTCCCGATGCAGACCAAGTCTTGAAGTTAGGCTGGTAGCTGGAGAGGTGCCAGTTCACCTTCTGAGCTCTGCCCAAGTGCCCTTGAGCAAAGCACTGTGCTCACCACACTGCTCAGGCACGCCTTCATGTGCAGCATATCCATATAGGATGCCGTTTGTAAATGTGTGTTTTTGCCCGTGTGTGTCGCATGTTTCAACAACACAATGAAAACATTGAATTTCCCCTCAGTGATTAATAAAGAATAATGTCTTCTTCTATCTGTAAGAGAGCCATAAATACTAATATACATGTGTTGAAGCTTCCATTTCAGCTTATATACTTGCAGTCAAATGACTTTCTGCTGTTCAGCTGTGTATTTACACGGTAAGCTACCTGTATTCTTTCCTTCACACATCATCCGTCCGAAACACAAATATTTAGCAGGATTCTGGTTCTTTTTCACCACAAGGTCTACACCAACAACATTTTTCCTCGCTTCTCTCTGCTTTCTCAGCCTCACTCGTACACCACTCAGATACCAACAAAATAACATATCTGAGGATAGCTGACGGCGAGCAGGGGCCTTATTTGATTGGCCACATGCTTGAAAGATGATATAAATTCATGGCATGTGTGATTCAAAATGTTCAGGCTTTTGCAATGTGTTGTTCTTGTGTGCTCATGTATCCCAAAGAAAACAAAATAAAGATATATTGCATAGCTCTGGTCTACATATCTCAAAAGTAGGAGAACTAAATTTGAGCTTATGATCTTTTGTTAAAAAACAGATTTCATTTTGTGATACTAAGTCATTATAACAGTATTTGTCATTGCTTGTGAAACGGCCTTAGACACAACAAACACAGGGAAGCTTTAAATGTACCTGTATGTGTGTGTGTGGTGTTGCATGTGAAACCGTACACAGGAGTCCACAGAGACTAAAATATGATATGTTAGACAAAACAGTGTGCATACGGTTTTAAAGGACAGCTTTGTCCTTTTTGTGGAGTATCCAATTTCAATCTGCTCTCCTGGGAAAATGGGATGCAGACCAGCACAGCCCATTCAATTAGGACATTAAGGTCTCACGAGAGGCTCTCATTTACACAACACAATAAGCTGCTTGAACCATGTCTGCTGTTTCTGAATGAAAGAAACAGCCTCCTCTGCCTGTGGGATAGAGATCCCCCACCCAGCAGCAGCAGAAGGATGAATGCTCATTTCTAAGAATAAAAATAGTACTTCTAAAAATTATGGCCTCATAAAGTGAACACAAACTACATCATCCTTGTTCAATGTCTGTATGGGTCCCAAACTATCAACAGGGAAGACATACGAGGTCATCTACTGACAGAAAACTGAATTGCAACTTGTTTATCAGCAGTACAAAATGTTCTCAAAATATAGGAGTCGTATAGAGGTGCTGGGGGCCTAGTGGTTAGTGCGTGTATGGAGGCTGTGGCCCCAAAGGCAGAAAACCCAGGTTTGAATCCGGTCTGTGGCTTCTTTCCCGCAAGTCGTTCCCCACTCACTCTCTCTCTCTCTCTCTCTCCCTCTCTCCATGATCTCTGACTCCAACCTATACTATCCCTAAATAAAGGCATAAAAACAATGAGTCACATAAACTACATTCATCCCCCCTCCAGTGTTTTTTTTAAAGCATATTCTAGACATATAACTATAACCTTCTTCCAAAACAGAGTAATTCAAAACAAATTCCATCTTCGTGGGAAGAAAAGTGAAGAAAAGGAGCTGCAGCAGATACTTTTTCAACGGGTTATTTAATTCAGAACTCTGTTATTGTTCAGCAACACACATGTCTACAATAAGATGTACTCTAAGATACAATTTCCTCTGAGGTTTTTTGTGTATGAAGCCGGGGATTTTCCACAGCCTGTTGTTCATGTGGTCATAAAAAAATGACGAGTAAACGGCGCCATCTGGGGGCCCTTATACGAACACACACGTGGATTGAAGTAGAAATGACAGCCGCCCTCCACGACCTTTGCTGTACATGATTTCAATCGCATCATTAAGAGTGGATCTGACTTTTATAAAAGAGATCTTCCTGGCATGAAAACGCAGCGTAGCCTTTATTTCGCCAAGTGTCGTGTGACGTCACAGCCCAAAAGTTACGGTGGGCAAATGAAAATATGAATGCGCGAAAAATAAAAAAAAAAGCATGTGCAAAAAATTAGAGATTAAGATTAAGATTAATTAATGCGCAAGCCAACTTGATAACTTACAATATAGATGTGCTCCTAAGTTTAGAATTTCTTATTAAAGTGTCTATTATACTTTTGGATACTTATTTCAAGGTCAGTTTAATTATCCTCTAATAAATGCAGGAAAATCAATTAACAGCTTTTGAGAGCAAGTTGACCGGAAAGTTAGCAGACTTTGCATGATTTCAACTGGACCCAAATTGAGGTAGCAAATGTTATATTTTCTGTTTTTTTTTTTTTTTTTCTAAGTTTAAATTTGATGCTCTCAACCTTTGTACAGTACAGGCATAGTGACTGTGTAACTTAGTCAACAAGCTATATACAAACGCATAGTAAGCTAAGTCAGTGAAATGTAAGCTGAGCCAGGCCTGAAGCATATCATTGCTTTTGCTGACTAGCAGGACAGATGCTTCCCCAGAGAGACGTCAGCAGCACAGCCAAACCCCTCCCATAAACACCACCGGACGTCTCCCATGGACCTTTACTAGACGGGGGGTTGTGTGTGTGTGTGTGTGTGTGTGTGTGTGTGTGTGTGTGTGTGTGTGTGTGTGTGTGTGTGTGGGGGGGGGGGGGGGGGTTGCTAGTATATCTTGTGGCATCTCATGGACCTGGCCTGCTCGGAACAAGACCACAGAGTAAGAAGCTTAGCAACATTTTTTTTTATCACTTTCATGAGGACTACTGTGGGTTTTCTGTTTTATGGAGAGATCAGGAGAAAATCTACACTGGAGTATTTGCTGAACTCTGAGGTATTGGTTGTCATATAACTGCAAGGTCATGTGAAGCATTGGATACTGGTGAATGCAGAAGTGGTTCCAAGCGGGCATGAATTGTAAGGCTTAACGATAATGATGTTCTCTGTTTGTTTTCCAGGAATTTTCGAAGGACACACAACAGTTCCCTGTATGAATTTCATGCCTTTTTTAAAAAGTGACTATGGCTGATGAAGGCAAAAGGAACCATCAAGAAAGATATGGTGTCATTCCTTCTTCTGGAGATGGACAGATCCTAATTAACACAAACAGTGTGAAGACTGTCTCCTCAATCATTTGTGCAGGTGTGGACTCACTTCCAGAGAGCAACGACACTGAAATCCTTTATCTGAACCCTCAGACACCAAATTGGTCTCTTGTGGAGAAGTTTTCGGAGCTTTCGCCCGGAGAGGACTCAGGACTTCGTGGTGACCAAAACAAAGCTGGGCGAGAACTGTCACAATACTCTAAATATAGTGAGAACACAGAAATTAATGGATCTAATGACAAGCACTTGGATGCTGCGCAAAAGAAGAAAAGGAACTGCTCCCAACACCTTACCAGTCATAAGATACTAAGTGACGCCGCAGTCAAACCAAGGGCATCCAAGCTGAAGGAGAGAAACGTTGAGGATAATTCTTCAGTTGAAGGTGGAGACAAGACCAAGAAAAATAATGTGAACAGTCATCATATTAAGAAATCCCTTAAAAAGTCTGCAGAAAGCAAGATCCCTCGCCTTTTGGTGGCGATGAAAAAGCGCGGTGAGGTCGACACGGAACAGCGTCCCTTCAAGTGCACACACTGCCACTGGGCTTTTAAGAAGCTTTGCAACCTGCAAAGTCACCTACAAACTCACACCGGGCTCAAGCCACATGTGTGTGATATATGTGGCAAGACTTACTCTCACCAGGGCACGCTGCAGCAGCACAAGCGTCTACACACAGGAGAGAGACCATACCACTGCCCCTTTTGCGACAAGACTTATATCTGGTCATCAGATTACCGTAAGCATATCCGCACTCACACGGGTGAAAAGCCCTATGTCTGTGACACCTGTGGGAAGGATTTCATTCGCTCCTCTGACCTGCGAAAGCACGAGCGGAACATGCATACCAATGACAAGCCGTTCCCGTGCAAGCACTGTGGCAAGACCTTCAATAAACCCCTCTCTCTGAAGCGACATGAGCGGAAGCACCTGGGAGAGAGGCCCTTCTCCTGCCCTGACTGCGGGAAGACCTTTGCCCTGGCCAGTCGCATGGCAGAGCACCAGAAGATCCACACAGGAGTGCGTCCGTTTGCCTGCTCGGTGTGCTCCAAGTGTTTCACAAAGTCCTCCAACTTGTTTGAACACGAGGCCATTCACAGCGGTGAACGGCCTCACAAGTGTACAGAGTGCGGCGTGGCGTTCGCTATGGCCTCGCGCCTCGTCCGTCACCAGTACATCCACAGTAAAGCGAAACCACATAGCTGCACTGGCTGCAGCAAGAACTTTTGCCAGTTAGCCACACTGAAGCTCCACCAGGAGCAAACGTGTGCCGGAAGGATATTTGTCTGTGTTGAGTGCAACAAATCCTTCCAGTGTGCAACAAAGCTTGCACAGCACATGCTGAACCACAAGGACAAGAGTGTCTGAAGCTTTGTAAGGACAGCTACTGTAAACATCCAGAGATAGTTATTTTCATTCAGTTCATAAAGTTATACATCAATGCAGTGGTTTAATTATTTCAAATATGCAGTTGCAGAAATGTTGGTTCCATTCAAAGTCAAAGGGCACCAGTTTATTTATATTCTGGTATGTATTGGATATTTGTGTCTTATGAGTTTTCTTGCGTACTCTCTGTCTCCGTGGTGCTGGGTTTCCATGAGAATGTTGTAGGATACAAATTACCACACGCACAGCATTGGCACTGGATCTGAAAGCTCGATAGTTCAGTGCTTCAGAGCATACAAGAGCATTTAAACTACTAATGCGGTTTGTAAAACATTGCCACTTTGCATTTTGTAAATGCAGTAAGTTTATCCTGATCAATTTCTGCTAATGATATATTTGTATATGTGGCTCATTCTTAATACCCTTGTGGGACATGCTGATCCAGTGCAATTACGAAAGGCACTGAGCATTGCATTTCAGAAGGCTCATCACTTCCTCGCCTTGAAATCATTGATGCACAGAGATTTGAATACCTAACTATAGTATCAGTGACATTAGCACAGATGCATACATGACATTCTTTTAAAACAGTATTAATGACGGGTCCTGATGTCCTGCCAGATGAAGGGGCAGCTTGATGTCCCAACCAATCAGTGCTTCTTATACACACATAATAAAACACCAACATCAATGCTGAATATTCTCAGGTACACTTTGTTGTGTCTATTATCCAGTGACCTTTGATGCACTATTTCTCTATGCACGGCTGCAAAATAGACTGTTCATAAGATGTGGATGTTGCCACTGTGACTTCACCAAATCCCTTTCTTTTTTTTCTTTTTTTGCTGCCACCATGACATGAGAGTGGCAGTGCTATGTCTCTACCGAGGATAACAGGTGGCACTAAAGGGACCATTTTTATAAATTTGACATCATGCTGTATTGAAAAACACTTGGAACAAGCCATTGATACAATAAATTAATTGCCAAAATGTTTACTGAACAAATAAATTTTGGTCTTTATAGCATACAATCTGACTTCTTTTTGTGCAGCCATTGGAGTCGCCTTAAGAGAGAACACATGTGTTTGGCACTTCTGCACTTTTCCTTAAATTTGACACCAACGTGTCATGTCCACTTCTTATGCCAGGGACACATTTTAACATTAATAGACCCCAGTTGAAATGGTTCAGGGAAGCTAGATTAACAGCAAGTCATCGCTTTTTGCAATCAGAGATTGCTATGTGATGTCGGCATGCATCTTGTACTAATTGTGCTTGGTAAGCATATTGTGTTTAACAGCATAGCTATTTCAATTTTGGACATTTGGTTTGAGCTCAGAGTTTAGATTCAAGTTGACCTGTTGAACATATCAGTTTAATATTAATTAAGTAACCAGTGTGTGCAATATAGACTTGGGGTGAGGAAAGCATATATGATATTCATATTTTTCAGGACAGGAGAGGGGAACCAAACGTTGTGACAGCATGAGTGAGGGTGCAGGTGAACTGCGTTGCACCTGTTGTGTTTTAGCTAACATGGAAATCTCATATGAGGAAGTTGTCATTTGCTCAGTGTGTTTTTTAACTGGATGACTGTAATGTTCTTGATCCTCTGTGTCTCTGTAATGACGTAGTTCAGGCTCTAGACTCTGGATGTCACTGCCTCAGTCTTTTAGAGTTTTATAAGTAGAACTGCAGTCATTGAATTCTATTTTTTTTGTTCTTCCTAAGCACTTGTAAGACTCTTTTAATGTCCTGTTAATGTCTGGGTTTTTTTTTGAATGTCAGTATGCATTAAATGTCAAATTTGCATCTATCATGCTTTGGGTCATATTGTAGCATGCCCACAACTTGAGCATGTTAAAGGTCAAGCTCTTAAGGATTAAAGGGGACCCATATTGATCAGGGTGAAGTGAAAAAAATAGTTTTTCAATATCAATCTCAATAATCGTTTTTGAACAAAAGGGTCAGTTAAAAAAAGGATCAGTTTTTAACTTTGGATTGTGGGAGGAAGCCACACAGGCCTACACATGCATGGGGGGAAAATGCAAACTCCATACAGACATGCTCCTGCCTGATAAGGATTCAAACCAGGAACCTTCTCCCTGAGAGGCAACAGCATTAACCACTGCACCACCATGCAGCCCTGCACTCAGTCATATTGCGATCTTGTTATTTTTGTAAGTAATCATGCTGGGCAGTTAGCTTACACCATGAGTGGTTCATTTGGACAGGGTGGCCTGGGAAGGGTGTCAAACTCCCGGCGTGAATTATTAGCCCAGTCTGCCCCTGGATGCTGTAAAAATGCATTTTGCCATGAAAAGGATTCCAAAAGGGGCGTCTCACTTAATATACTAGAGTAAGTGACAACACAGCAATCGCACAGCGGTCTCCTTTTACCATTAGTCTGCAGTTGCCAACTATGAGTGGGACACACTGGCCTGGAATTCAGTTCACAGTGACGGCCAAGAGGGGAGTCACCATTTACTGCCTGCCAATAACCTGCCAGAAACATTCAGATTGATCACTACACAGAGGCAGTTAGATTTGGGGACCAAAGAGTGGAAGTTGGGAAATGTCTCGGTGCTCCAGATGTTCTATTCACACTCGTCAGATTTATATCACATAAAAATACAAATATGAAGATGGCTGAAAACGTTTAATAATACTGAGAAATGACTCTGATATAAAATGACACTCATGAAGTGGTCATTTATGCATCAAATCTTCTGCTGGTCCAGTAGTACAAAAAACATAGAAGTGCAGTGTAATACAGTAAGTACTGTACTAGACGACAAATACAAAAAACATGAATTCCTTCAAAATATGTTCATAAGCTAACACATATGTCACTGCTTTATATACACCTTTAAGGAGCCCACACATACCATGCAGTCACATAGACACATCTATAAAAGAGCTATGAATAAACCTCCTGTTTCAGATCAAAGCGTCACAGATATTATCAGCACATAAACAGTTTGACACTTTAAATGTCTGCTGGCCTGGCAGAGGTCTGTCTGGACTCCACCCTCTCAACCTGTGGTATTACCCATCATGCACCACAGCAACATGAAAATGTAAAAAAAAGAATCATATTTTTTACTTGCCTTGAAACATCAGGCAACAGACTTTGCTTAGAGAATTTGGCTTCGTTGAAGCTAGAAAATAACCACAGCATTGACTTTTAATTTTAAATAATTCATTTACATTTAGTAATATTTAATTTGTTTCCCATTCATGTTGAGAATATATCAATATGATTTCTTCATTGTGTTGAATTGAAAGTATATTGGAATAGATTAAAAAGGAATGATGACTTTGTGCTTCTTAATACGACTGGAGTTGAGCTGCTTTTCTTGCAGCTCATGCAGTTGGATCATTATTTATATTTGACCTGAATTATAAGAGTCTTATATCTTACACACGTTCCAGCAGTGGTCACATTTACAGTCCCCAAACTCTCCCCTGACACACTAGAACGCCGAGTCAAATCCCTCACACTGATATGTTTATTGGGGTCAAAATATGTCCTACATCCACCGGTAATTTCCCTTCTGTCAGCTTTTCAGAAGACCTCATCTGTTTCTGCGATATGTGTCACTGCAATTTGGTACCGGAGTATTTCTATATCTAAAATGCAATCTGATGGAACAAGCTGGCAGTGTGAAAGGACATGTGGTCCGAGGGGAGTGGAAACGATCTCACTTGTGCTCACTAAGACATTCGGTAAATTATCCCAGCGTTGGTTTAAGTGGCGTCAGTGATCCTACAAAATACAAAGATTTTAAGGTCATAAATATGTTGCATATTCATCTTCAATCTTTGAGTTGTTGAATTTACCTGTGACACAGGCGAGTGGTCTCTACCCCAGCTGCTGGCCTGTGAAGAAAACATGGATATTTATAGAAAACCCTTACATTTGCGTAGTTGAATTTCGGGTAAATGTCATCAGTGGAAGCCAATGTTTTAAATTTCATGACTAAAAAAAATGCAGGCAGCATGCCATGACTGTGCTTAAGCCATGATATGAAATCTGACACGTTGGTCAGCATCTGTGTTAATGTCAAGAACACAGCTCGTCGCTGACCTCAGACATCCACCGTGATGAAAGAAGAATGTGGAATTGAGCAACATATTTATACATTGCGTAGTTGAAATCTCAAAACTACAAAACAACTGATCATTTGCCATATCTGCAGGTAAAACAATTTATCAGATAGTTCACCTGCTTTCCTTGAGAATGGATTGATCCCTGCAGAGGAAGACTGTGATGGAAACATGCCAGGCGGGACAGCCGCAGGTGGGGGAGGAGGACAGAAACCAGCTCTCAGTTGCTGCTTCAAATAAAACGTACAAAATGATGTATGCTATCACCAAATAAAAAAAAAAACATGTTTGTAACTGAATGTATGATGTATTAAACTCTCACTGTCTGAGCTGGGCTGTCCTGCTCTGTGCTCTCCTTCAAAACATCTTGTGCTTTTGATTTGAACCAACCGCTAAACCAGCCCGCCTTGGCGCTCTGCACGGAACGTGGAGAATATGAGACAAATGTCGACTGTCATTAAGTTGAATATGTGTCAACATAACAGGGGCTCCACCCACCTGTTTCAGGGGCTCGTTGGTCACCTTGGAGTCCACAAACTGTTGTGGTACGCTCTGCTGGCTCTGCTGGCTCTGCTGCTGCTGACTGGTGGTGACTTCCAGCATCTGACCCCCCATCTTCAAAGGTAGACACACATCATTCACATCCAGGTAACTCTTTTTGTAACAGTTATCAGTCCTCTATAAACTTTTACCAACCAACACTGAAGCACTGTGGCAAAGGACTAAAGTTTGAGTGATATAAATTCAGAAAAGAAAACAAAGGGAACCGCATCAAAGTCAGAAGTTGACATTTCTGAGGTACTTGCTTTGTTCATTGTTACAACGTAACGTTATAAAAACATTACTCACTGTGCCTGCTACAGAGGACAA